TCATAGCTATCTGATCACATTCTGGAGCAAGAGAATTTGCCTCCATCTGTGCATTTCAGGTCAGGGAATGTACTCTTCTAGAAAATTGGAACATGTTCCTCTGTCAAACAGCCAAGTGGTTCCCAAAGAATAATTCTATACATTTGAACTCTTTATAGTTACTGTCTATATATGAATATAGACATTACTTTATTTAAACTTTATTTAAACTGTGCCCAAATACAAATTGGGAAGTCTTATTATAGCACCATGGTACAAGTTCCCCAATGTGAGCAGCACTGCAAAGCTTGTAACATCAAAAAGCCTAGTACAAAGTTAGTGTCTCAAATGACATTTGTTGGGTACTGATGCATTCTGACACATAGCACAGTTTGGGAATGATGCATTCAAAATGCCAAATTCATGTTGCCTATGTGATGAAACCATCACCAGTTTGGTGCCAAAGCCACATGACCCTTGTTCACATTGCTGAGAAGAAGTTAATCTGTACGGCTCCCTTTATTTTTGTATCTTCCAGGGCAAAGTCTACCCTCTGTTGATTAGGCATCTCCTGGGAATCCCTTCTGGAACAGTCAGTTGAGCTAACCATTGTATGAGTTTGCAGAATTTGTGTCGATTAACAGGAACCTTATTTTCAATTATTATTTGATGTGATTATACATAGCAGTTTCTGACAAGCAAAAGTATTATTGTAAGATAGTCAAGAGAGTTAAATAGTTACCAATTTTCTACTGTGTATTCAGCCCAAGTATATAATGAAAGACGTGCATTCAAAAAATTCATAGTCAAGTTGGGAATACAAGTCTAAACACACAAAATATCAGCCCATAAATAACATTAAATGGTCAAATGGGCCCTCCCTGGTGGCGCAGCGGGTTAAAGCACTGCACTGAGAATCTAAAGCCGCTTCCGCATGAGTTCGATTCCCGCCAGCCCGGGAGGTGACCACATGGCGCCGCAGACCTCTCTTGACCCGCTGGCTGCTCCCCTCAATGGTGTACTTAGTAGATCTGCCTGTTCTGCTCCCCACTCTGTCTCTGGTGAAGCCTCTCACCGCCCCTGCATCTCTGGCCTGTATCCCAGTTCTGTATGTACAAATAAATAAATAAATCTTTAAAAAAAATGGTCAAATGTTCTAGGATTAAGATGAGGATACACTAAACAACAATACTATATGCCTGTGTTATTCAGTGGCATGTATTTTTGTTTTACTTACTTATTGTTTTGCCCTTCCCCACTTAGAATGGAAGTCCCATGAGCAGAGAAAGGATGTTTTGTTTCAACGCTATTTCACTAGTGCCTGGCATGTAACTGGTGTTCAATTTATTTGTTGAATGAATGAAAGAGAAGTTCCTAGAATAGAAAGAGAAAAGGAATGTCTCATGGAGAAATGCTCCCAGCTCAGCCTTTATTCGGCTTGTTTTACAGCAATCCATAGATTTCAGCACATGACTTCTTTATTCCTATAAAAGAGGCAAATAGGTATTTAATGAAAATAGTAAGTAGAGTGTTGGAAGAACTTTAATTACAGTGTTATGGTCCAGGTGGTCCAGTAAGTTGATTTCTAAAAAAAGAGAAATTTTTCTTAGAATCAGTGTTTTTCATACTAAATTATAAAGCAAAAAGCTTTGCTTTTCAAACAAATCCCCAACGAAGGAAGCAGATAAAAGCTGAGCTGCTCTGGTTGGCTCTGGTGTGGCAAAGGGGAGGTCTACCTTCTCAATTCCTTCACTTCCACCACAAGGCTATGGTTTCTGAAAGATTCTAGGAAAAGTTTGAAAACACTGGAGGCAGCTAACGAAGACCTTCCATTCTGGTCTCTGCGGAAGTAGCAGGCATCTGCTTTTCCAGAGAGAAAAAAAAACACGTGAGGTCTGGGCCAAGGCCAGTGCCCTAGCCCCTTGTCATGGCTAGTTCTAGGAACAGGCAGATTTCTCTGTCACATTTCTCTGATCCGATACTCAGGAGTGCTAAATAAGTTGGGTGACCTGGTCTCCACTCTGATTGGCCCCCCTCCACTCTCCAACACCCCCTACTTCCCCCCCCCCCCCAACTAAAGGCAATCAAACTCATTAGCAATTTCTCTGGGCTTCAGAGTTCATCAGAATCTTGTACACAAAAGTAAACAGCCTGGCATCAATCCATATGGGAAATGAGTGATTCATTTGTCATCACCCTTCACCTCGTACAGCTGGTTGGTCTGCTTTAGCTGCCTAGAGAGGAATCAACTGTACAGACAGAGGGTTCAAAGGATAACATGAGAGCTTTTAATGGCGTTATTTACCAGGGTGTGATCAGGTTTAAGGGAACAAAGGATTGTAAAGCAACAGCTAAAAGAGTTATAACCATCAGCTTGGAAAGAAGAACTGTTATTGATCAACAGTTGCTTGGGGAACTAAATTAAAAAAAAAACCACTCCTTATTACAAATAAAGAAACTAAGGATAAAGAAACGAGGACTACAGGTTGCGGAAAGTCAGGGGAAGGAACTTATTGACTGACGCGTCTGGCGCAAGGTAGCCGAAGAAGTTTTAAAAACTCCTCTCAGGGCTGGTTAAGTCACGTTGACCTTGCCCGCTACCAACCGAAAATAAGCAATTTACTGCTACGGGTTGGGACTACAACTCCCGGCTTGCACCTCTTCAGGCCCGTCTCGAACTTCAACGTTAGGATAAAGCAACTTCCGGAAGAACTGCATTTCAGTACTCGTACTTCCCCCAGTTGGGACCGTCCACCTGCCGGAGCTTGCTCATTGGCTGCCAGGTCGCCGCCCCCTTTCCCTCATCGCACGTCGGTGTCTCACGCACGCACACGCAGCGCGTGCCCACGCCCCCTCCCTAAGTCTAGGACGCAAGCGCGCGCACGCTCCCCGGGCCCGGTAGGCGGGGGGTGTAAGGGGAGGAGATAGGGGGGGAGGGAGGGGGGTTAGGTATCTATTGAGTAGACGGCAGTGGGGGACGGACTGCGCGAAGGCCTGGCTGCCGGACTGGTGAACTCTGCTCTGGGCCTAGGGCCGGCGGGAGGGTCCGGAACCAAGTCTGCGCGCCCTACTGTGTAGCAGCCGGGCGGCTAAGGCCCGGAGGGCAGCAGGAGGGGAAGCCCTGGCCTAGTCCCGCGGAGATGTCCGGCTGCGGCGCTTGTACTTGCGGCACGGTTGCCGCGCGGCTCATCACCTCCTCGCTCGCCTCCGCGCACAGAGGTAACGAAGTAGTCCTGAGCCATTGCGACCCGGGAGAGGGCAAAAGGCCGACCCCACCGAGAGGGTGTATGGGGTGCGCGGAGCTTAGCCTGGCACCCTACACTTTCCTGTGGGATGGGCCTTTGCCAACCTCTGGAGCAGCTGTTTCTCACAGTTGAAGTAAACCTCTTAGGCTCTCCCGCCCGAGAGCCTGTAGGTCTCCTCATGTTGGAGTCACAATGTGGCCACTAAGCAGAAACCCCGAAAGAAGCACAGAAATGCTCCTTTCGTTGAAAAGTGTCCTCAGACCCTACTTGGACCTTCTCCGGGGACTAACCCCTGCCTCGGCTTCTCTTCCGGCGCCCGGCCGAGTTTCCTCTCGGGCCGGTAGGTGGCTCCGGGAAGAGCCGGGGTGAGGGGCTGCGCTGTTGGGGTGCCGGGCCGGGCCAGCCCCCCGGGACGCAGGCCGCGCGACACTCGCCGTGTCACTGTCGTTGTGCGGCCGCCGGCACCGGCCGTCACTCGCTCGCAGTGCTTGACATCGGGAAACCTCCGGGCCGGCTGGAAAGGGCCGTGGAGACGAGGGAAATTTCCCGAAGAAATCTTTTTTGAAGTACTTGGGTGTCTCTGCCGTCGTTGGCCACTTTTCCTAACTTGACAGCTCGAGATAGTTTCATGAGAGTAGCGCTTGTTTACCTTTCCTTTCTGTTTATCAGGAGCAGTGAAAAAGTGGTACCCCAGCCAAGATATTCCGGAAAAGAAACCATTTTCCTTTTCCCCAAATCTGTCAATGTCAGACTGCGAGGATAGATCCTGTTGTAATCACTTCTGACCAAGTTTGTTTTGACTTGTCCGCTTATGAGCGTTGGATAAACAAAATAGTCTCCCATGCCTACTTTTTAGATTAATTGTAAAATTGTCACTGTTTATTAAATGTATATTTCTAGGCAGTTAATTTCATGGAGAGGGATTCAGTGAGATAATATGGACAGAACCATTTGTACAATAATCCGTAAGTGTTAAGAAGTCCCAAGGCCCTAGATGCCTATTGCAGGAATTTGAGTTGCAGACACAAATGACAGGTATTTTAGTTAGCCTATTTGACATGTATTTGTTGAGGTCCCTTTTGCTGTTTCAGATGTATTGAAGTTTTCAACTCCCAAATTTAAAAAGGAATGGAGCAGACTATTTTGTGTCTCGGAGTGAATATGGAGTGTGTTCTCTTGGGGCAGGGAAGACTTTGACAAAGTTCTTGATCTGTCCCAATTTCCTTGAATACTATATGTCAGATGTGTGGGTTATTTTTTTCCTTTCCAAAAAAATTTCAAAAAAATATATCATTAGGTAAATCAACACAACTTAATGACTTACGTAGGAATATTATATGTGTATCAGATAATACAAGTTTGCCAGTGGTTTTCAGAAATAGAAAACCCTTTTTTTTACTGTAAAGGAGAAAATTAAGCTTAATATTAGACAGAACCCATATCATGATAGAATTTAACATAGTAGATACTCAAAGTGTATATAAATATACATGAACACAGAGATATTTTCTTTTAAGGAATTAAACACTAGAGGGTTATTTTTATTTGGGATTCCAGGAACACAAAAAAAAAATAGAAAAAATATAATTGAACTTTGGCTAGTTTATTATTATAAACAGTAAAAAATTTCATCAATAATAATCTAACAAGAAATTGTACAGTGAATTAAGATTAAAGGGAGAGTTTGGAGCTTTTTTGAAGTATAATGCTGTTCTCTATTTCCATTGGTCGGTCTGTCATGTCAGACCTTACAATTGTAAGTGGTAGTTAAAAAAATTATTTGGTAAATTGTCATACTAGATACTGGTTCTGTTTTCTTTTTTCTGAGAAGCTCTGTGTATCCAGTTTAATGTGTTTTTCCCACTATACTTTTTTATTGAAACCCAAAGTAGAAATTAAATTTTTTGACCCAAACTGCTAGTTTCCATTTTGATAAACTTAATGTACTTTGCACATTAAGTCAAGTTGCATCCTAAATATGTGCATTCAGAAATATTTGATTCATGTGTAACTAACTGCTTTCTGTCCTTGTCCACTGAAGGAAGGATGCCACTTTTTCAGGGTGTAGATGGAGATGTGAGGATGCTTATACATGTTGGTGTTCACAATTTTCTTGTATAATGTATGCTTGCTTTTACAGTTTTTAACTAGATTTTCTCTCTTTGCCAGTTCAATTACAATATGAGTTAAATTAGGCAAAGTAAATGATAAAGCATTTTTTCTGAGATTATAGATTATTTATTAACATTTTTCTTGACATATTCATCTTTAGACCTGCAGACCAACCCTAGTGAAAACATTTTCAAACTTGAGGAAAACTTTCAGAATTGATGTTACTGACTTCGTAATGATTATGATGTTAATACTTTTTTTTATTAAGAAACATTCAGAATTGGCCCTTCCTGGTGGCTAAACAGGTTAAAGTGCAGCACTGGGAAGCTAGCAGTGGTTGTTTCCATCCCCAGCCAGGCAGGTGACCCACATGGTGTGGCAGACCTCTCCTGTCTCACCTGCTGCTCTCCTCAGCAGTGTACTTTGTCAGTCTGCCTGTCCTGCTTTCCACTCTGTCTCTGTTGAATACTCTCACTGACCCTGCACCTCTGGCCTGTACCCCAGTACTGTATGCTTAAGTAGATAAATCTTAAAAAAAAAAAAAGTATATTCAGAATCGTGAAACAATAACTTGGTCATAAAATGAAAAATTGAGATTTTAATAAAAGTAATAAACATTTAAGTTGTCGCATTATTTGTGATTTTTTTTTTTAAAGATTTATTTATTTATTCATACAGAACTGGGTTACAGGTCAGAGATGCGGAGGGTGAGAGGATTCACCAAAGACAGAGTGGGGAACAGAACAGGCAGATCGACGAAGTACACTGCTGAGGGGAGCAGCGGGCGGGTCAGGAGAGGTCTGCCACACCATGTAGGACACCTCCAGGGTGGGGATCAAACTCATGCTTAAGCTTCTTTGTGCAGTGCTTTAACCCGCTGCGCCACCAGGGAGGGCCCTTATTTGTGATTTTTTTATTGAAGTTTTGTTTCCAATTTGTATTAGAACTTAGTGACCATGTATTTAGGCACTTGTCTTTTTATAGTTACCCACTTACATTTTGTACTACATACAAATATTAATTTTTCTTTATATATATATTCATGATCTGAAGTATAGATCAGTTTAAGCTGAGTCATTTGTTTTTGGAGAATGCTTCATTCAAGTTTGAATATGGGCTGTCAAACATTTAAAAATTGAATGAATTTTCTAGTTATTAACAGTCCTAAAATTTATGTACAGTGAGCAGTCAATATTGTCATTAAGTTCTAGCAAATTGATAAACCAAAGGACAATGAAAGCAGTCCTCTGATAATGTTTTATTTTACCTTACTTCACTGATGTTGATGAGAAGAAAATCCTAATTAGTATGAACAAAGTTGACATTCATAGACATATTTCTTTTTAGAAACAGCTTTGAAACTCAGGAAGCTTTCTTTGTGTGCAAAAAGTTTTGTAAAATGTTCAACTGTCTTCCCATGGGGATTACAATTGAGATAAAAAAATGTACAAAATGATGTAAAAATAAACTATTATATTATATATATAAAAAAAGTTTAACTGTCTTAATTAGTTGCTGCCAAGTAGTCTTTCGAAATATACTTTACAGAAATACTTTTCATTTTGACTGTTAGGAATTCTTTACCTAGAGTTCACAGGCCTTCAAAGGGTCAAGGAATGACATTCAGAAGTTCTGTGTGAACTTTTTTCATTAATCTCTAGCTGAAATAAAACATTTCCTTCAAGTTTGAATGTAGGCAACAAGTTTCAGTAATATTAGAGTATTTATGAGTTTGTCACCAAAGGCACAAATATTTTTATATCACATTTTAGTCGCTGAGCTCTCGAAATGTTGTTTATACTTTATCATTATCATTTTAACTTATCATTCAAAATAATTTTCATTATTTTGAAGTATGGTATTTATTATAAAGTTATTACTAAATCGTAGTTTTGTTTGTTGGTAAAGAGGCATAATTTTGTTTCCTTTGTTATGTATTTTATTCTATACTTTAAAAAATATTGTGAGGAAGGATCTATTCATAGACTCCACTAGAATGCCAGAAGGGTTCATGGCGCAGAAAGAATTAAAAATTAGTGATTTTCAGTGAAGATTTTATATTGTTATTGACTGGTCATTGGAATTAAAATGTGTGGTCTTCAGACTGGCAACATCACCATCAGCTGGGAACTTACTGAAATGCATTCTTGGGTCCTACATCCAAAATGAATCAGGGAAGAGCCTTGCAATTTGTGTGTGTGTGTGTGTGTTTTTATGCATACAGAACTGGAGTACAGACCAGAGATGCAGGGGCAGTGAGAGGACTCATCAGAGACAGTGGGAGGCAGAACAGGCAGATCTAGGAAGTACTGCTGAGGGGAGCAATGGGACAGGCGAGGTCTGCAGCACCATGTGGGTCACCTCCCTGGCAGAGGCTTGAACTTGTCTTGCAGTGACTTTGGCTAGCTTTGTTGTACTGTGCTTTAACCCATTATGATTATGTTACCAAGGAGGGTCCCAGTTTGTGTTTCTAATGAGCTTTCTGACACATGCTCAGAGTAGTTTAAAGAACCATAGATAAAGGATTAAAGACATCTTGTTTGTATAATAACCCATAGATTATAATGTCAAAATAGAAATTCAATACCATAACATTAGGATCAACAAAGAAATTTTTTTTTCAATTATTACAAAAGTTTATTTTTACATCATTTTGCACATTTTTTTTTTCCATCTCGATTGTAAT